CAGATTCTAGCATTGTCTTTTGAGATCAGTCTATCTTCTCAGAGGCTCCTCAGAGTCAGTAAGTGTAGTTCAGATGGCATATTCCCTACCCCATAGCTTTAATATACCCCCTCAACTGGAATAGTTGGAGGGCCCAACCCATCCAGTTATTTGTAGAGTTAAAACCATGGACTCTTCTATCCCATTATCATGGATAACTGAAAAGTGCCTATTGGTAGTGTCAATCCCTGTCCATTTAGTCAGTTATGTGACCAGTGGACAAAAGAAGGGAACTTGTGCCTTCAGCACCACTTGACATTGCTGAGCCACACAGGAAACATGGCCTTTTTTTATGTAATAAAGGCATTTACTTTATTACATAATAAGCATCATAACAAAAGTCAGGCTGCAGCCATGGTTGCTTCAGTGCCCCATTGATCTCATTAAAGACGCAGGATTTTTTTCATGTGTCCTCTCCACAACCTCAATGAGGTGCTTTCTCCTTGGGCTGTTTTCCCTCATGGTTACAATATCATGACAAGTAGTGTTCAAGATAAAATGTATATGTTTTTTCTTTATCTTTAAAAAATATATATGTGGCTTTTTGTGTAAGTATGAGAAAAATTTCTATTTTAAAATTATGTTTAGAATTAGCCACCTGGACCCAGGTTAGATGATCCCAATTTTGTTGGCAACATCTAAAGCATCCTTGTCAGGAGTGAGTCAAACGTATGCCTTCTCTCCATCAGGCCTAATCCAGGTGTTGGCCTGGGCCACATCAGTATCATAGAGCTTTTTTACAGTTTGTTTGATTTGGTGCTTGCTGGCCTTGACATCCACAATGAACACAAGTGTGTTGTTATCTTCTGTCTTCTTCATGGCTGGCTCATTGGTCAGGGGGAACTTGATGATGGCATAGTGGTCAAGCTTGTTTCTCCTGTGGGTGCTCTTCTGGGGGGTATTGGAGTCTCAGCCACAGGAAGGTGGGTGACACACAGATCTTCTCTTCTTTGTGGCTGTGGATACCCTTCAGGATTGCCTTCATGGTCTTTAATGCCTTTTCTTTGGCTTAAGTTTTGGGAGGGACAGGAACTTCCTTCTTTGCTTTCAGTACTCTTTTTGAAAAGAAAAAAAGAAAGAAACATGGCGTTTTGAAATAAGAATCTTCTAGGGATTAAGAATGTAATAGGGTTTTATTTGAGTTCTGTTTTTGCAAAATAAAATCACAAGAGAAAATGTTAAAAATATAGAAAAAGAAAACCTATATCAATGTTCTCTAGCCCCACAACCCCAAAACCAAGAAATAATTATTATTAACACTTTACTAAGATGCATTACTAATAATGAGTGACTGGAATGCAAAAGTTGAGAACTAGGAAAAAGAATCAGTAGTCGGAAAATAGGGACTTGGTGACAGAAATGAGGCTGGGAATAGAATGATAGAATTCTGTACAATCAAGGATTTATTCATAAAAAGATTAATTGCATTGGGAAAAATGTGCTGTCAGAGACCTCTCCAGAGTTCTGAAAAGCAGTGATGTTAGTCTAGAGACAAAGGTGCACCTAATCCAGGCCATGTTCTTCACAATTACTTGTTATGCTTTTTACAAGAAACATAAATGCAGGCTACACAGATAGATTTCACCTGATGGAATGCACAGGAATCAGATCAATTATATCTGTGGAAAGAATTGTTGGAGAAGTTCAGTATCAGCGGTAAAAACAAGGCCAAGTGCTGATTGTGGTACAGACCATCAACCGCTCATACGCAAATTCAAATTAAAGAAGTTTAAATCATATCCACAGGAATAAAAATTTGACCTTGAATCTATCCCCCATAAATTTAAAAACCAACTCAGGTATAGGTTTGAGGCCTTGAAAACTAATGAACGAAGACCAGATAAGCTGTGGGAAGATATAAAGACTGTTGTTCATGAAGAATGCAAAAAGTCTTTACAAAGAAGGAAGAAGAAAAGACCAAAATGGGTGTCAGAAGAGACTCTAAATATTGCACTAGAGCACCAGGAAGCCAAAGCAAGAAATCAAGACGTTAAGGAGCTGAATAGATTCTTTCAAAGGGCAGCTCAGAAGGGCAAGGCAAAATATTACCATGAAACGAGCAAGGAGCTGGAATCAGAAAATCAAAAGGGCTAAACTCGCTCAGCGTTTCTTAAGCTGAAAGAAATAACGAACAGATTCAAGCCATGAGCTGCAATGCCTCATGCTATGGGGCAGAATATTAAATGATTCAGAAAGCATTAAAAGAACATGGAAGGAGTATACAGAGTCATTGTACCAAAAAGCATTGGCTGACACAGAAGAATTTCAAGAAACAACGTATGATTAAGAGGCAATGGTGATGAAGGAGGAAGGTCAGGCTACTCTGAAAGATTTGGCAAAAAAATAAAGCTTCCGGAATTAATGGAATACCAACTCATGTAGTTCAACAAACAGATGTTGCCCTGGATGTGCTTACCAAATTGTGCCAAGAAATCTAGAGGACAACTACTTGGCCAACTGACTGGAAGAGATCCATATTTATTCCGTTCCAAAAAGAGGTGACCTGACAGAATGTGGAAATTATTGAACAAGATCACACACTAGCAAAATCCTGCTGAAGATTATCTAGAATCAGCTGAAACAGTATATTGACAGAACTACCAGAAATATAAGCTGGATTTAGAAAAGGTTGTGGCACTAGAGACATTATTGCCAAAGTCAGATGGATCTTTGCAGAAAGCAGAGAATACTAGAAGAATGTCTGTGTTTCATTGACTATGCAAAGGCATCTGACTGTGTGAATCACAACAGATAATGGTTAACCTTGAGGAAAAGGGGAATCCCAGAACACTTGATTATGCTTATATGAAACCTATGCTTGGACCAAGCAGCAGTCAGAACAGAACAAAGAAACATTGCATGGTTCAAAATCAGGAAAGAAGTATGTCAGGGATGCATCCTGTCCCCATAGCTTTTCAACCTGTATGCAGAACAGATCAGTTGGGAAGTAGGGCTTTATGAGAAGGAGTGTGGCATCAAGATTGGAGGAAGACTCATCGACAACCTATGATATGCAGATGATACAATCTTGCTTGCTGAAACTAAAGAGGACCTGAAGCACTTGCTGCAGAAGGTCAAGGACTGTAGTCTTCAATATGGTTGAAGCTCAACATCAAGAAGACAAAGATTCTCACCACTGGGCCAATTGGTAGCATCATGATAGATGGAGAAGAGATTGAGGTTGTTAGCAATTACAGCTTTCTCAGATCTATAATCAACAACACTCTTAATATCAGCAGTCAGGAAATAAAAAGATTAATTGCATTGGGAAAATCTGCTGTCAGAGACCTCTCCAGAGTTCTGAAAAGCAACGATGTCAGTCTAGAGACAAAGGTGCACCTAATCCAGACCATGTTCTTCACAATTACTTGTTATGCTACAAGACCTTGGGGAGGGCCTTTGTGTTTAAATGTTGGTTGTTATATTTTGGGGGAACATTCTTCTAAGTGGTACAGCACTTTACTGTCAATATGCTGTACTGAGGTAACTTGGGGTTATTGTGATGCCGAACTTTGTGACATTGGGGTGTCAAATGTCATAAAGGTTACCCATGGTGGACAGTGTTTGGTGGAACTCCCAATATAAGACAGGTTTGGAAACAGGAGAAGTATCCACTTCCTAAACAACATGTGTCTGGAAACTCTATGAACTTTGATAAATGATTATAGTTATAGAAAGGCTTCAGGCCTTTTATTCATAGGGTTGCTATGAGTCATGCTCTACTCAGTGACAATCAACAACAACTGCGTTTCCTTCTGATCCTTTCTCTGCATTGAATATTTTTAAAAGGCTTAACTTCTTGGCCCTGGAATGTCCATGGAAGAACCTTACTGGTAGCAGTGGTTGAGCACTGGGCTGTTTCCATAAAGACTGAAAGCCTTGAAAATCACCTGGAGGAATCTTACTCTGCCCTGTAGGGTCTCTGTGAGTCAGAATCAGCTTGAGGGCAGTGGGTTTCATTGTTTGTATAAAGAGGACTTGGGTACTTCCATATGCTTAATTCTTGTTCCATCTCCTTTCCTCATCTGGTGCTTGATTCCAGTTTGAGGACAAACTGTACTGTGAGGAAGAGAAATATCAAGGAAAATCTATTCTTATTTGTGGTAGTAATCGTCAGCTTCAGTTTACAGTGACCTTATGTATAGATGAGATGTTGCCTTTTTCTGTGCCATCTTCTCTCTTGTGATCCACAAGAGTTTTCTATGATTAGGTTTTAGAAATAGGTAACTAAGCTTTTCTTACTAGCCTGTCTTCATCTGGCAGCTCTGTAGAAACCCAACTACCATGGATGTTGTTAGTATTTGAAATATCCTACTAGAATTTGAAATATCCATGACGTAGCTTCCAGCATCATAACAATACATAGGCCGACACAGTGCAGCACACTGGCACACAAGTGACAGAAGAAACATGTACCCCTTGTTGAAGGCTAAACATTGGTCCGTTCCTTCACGTACTGTGCATTCATTCCGTGAGCACCACTGTGCCGTGTGTGCATGTTTGGACACTAGGAGACACAGGGCCTGTGTTCTATTGTCCTGGCTAACCAAGGGTGCTGGGTGCAGTAACCAGAGCTCAGGGCCTAAGAGATTAGAAGAGGGGCATTAAATGAGATGGTCCCTGTAAGGTCCCAGGGCCATGCCTCAGTAAGCCAAAGAGCCCTCAGTAAGCAGTGGCTGCTCTGCTCTCTGCTGAAAACGGCATCCTGGGGAGAGGAACCAGCAGGAGTAAAGTATAGAACAACCCCCTCCCCACAAGCTTCTTGCCCTTGACCTCCTTCAGATTCCACACCCTATGGACTATGGGCTCAAGTGTGTCAGAGATGATGAGGATGGTGCAGGCTAGAACAGGGTTCAGATTTGTTGTTCATAGGGTGCCTATGTGTTCTATGAGTCATGAGACTTGAGGGCACATAACAACAATGGGCCTGCAGGCTGGTTTTTCTGGTTTGCTCACAGGAGAATTTGCATATTTCTCTGAAGAACCTTCAAGAAGTTAGGCAGCCTGCTTTGAGACTTAGAGAGACAGAAGGCCCACAGTTATTTCTTAAAATCTGAGTAAGTATTACATAAGAACTATTTTCCTTCAGAACCCTTAAAATTATTTTAAAATTGTCTTGGTTATCACTTTATGTATGTATTTATCATCTCCTTCATTGTAATATATCCTCCATGATGAGGATCCTCTGTCCCCAGCATGTATGTAGGCACAGTGCCTGGGACCTAGTAGGTGCCAAAATAATATGTATAACATGAATTAAGTGATTAACTTGGGGCGGAGGTAAATGTTTATTTAAAATATACTAAAATTTTAAGAAAGGATCTGCACAATTCTGTTGACTCCCTTTGCGATTTTTGGGTTGTTGTGTTTTTGTTTTGTTTTTAAAAAAAACCCAAACACTCACTTTTTATTTGAAAAAAAAAACAGATGGACTTACACTGTTGTCATTATGTGCTATTGAGTCTATACTGATGTATAACTAAGTCCTACAGCTGATTTTCAGAAGCTATAAAACACATGGAAGAAGACTGACTGCCCATCTTTCTCCTGCAAAGCAACTGGCAGATTCAAACCAACTGTCTTTGGTTTTGCAACACAACTCCTTACTCCCTGGGTCACCAGTTATGCAAGTAGTACAGCAAGACCCTGGTACCGTAACCCTTCCCCATGTGAGCTTGGCTCTAACAATTACATTTAAACTCCTTAGCTGAGTGGTTGAGAAGGCCTCTCAGAGGAGGTGGCATTGAAACTGACATCCAGAAAGAGTGTTCTAGGCTGGGGGAACTGCAAGTGTGAAGACCTAGCTTGAATCTTTGAGAACAGACACAGTCAGGGTGACTGAAAGTATTGAACAAATCAGGAAGGGGAAGTGGCATCTGAGATGTACCTGAGAGGTAGGCAGGAGCCAGGTCACATAGGGCTTTGTAGGTCATAATAGATTGACATCTATCCTGGTGCAGATGAAAGCCTTCATAATTTTTTAAGCAGGCAAGTGGCATGGTCGATATGTATGACTAAAAGTGCACTTGTGTTACTTCTGTATAAAGAATGTATATTGTTGAAGGAATGAATAAATTAATTTGGCCTAAGCTGAGATTTTTTTTTTAATTCATTTTAATGAAAGTTTACAGAGACTTAGGGTTTCCACTCATTCATTGTTGTACTTTTCTCCCTGGCCACCCCCAACCCCCAATTCACTCTTCTCTTTGAAAAGTAAAAGAAAATCTCTTTCATTGTTATACAATCCTTCCCCCCAAGTCCACTCCACTGTGCAGCCTTCATTCTGGACTCCTGTCATGACAACAGTACCCAATCATATGTCCCTTTTAAACAATTCTCTCCCTCATCTGTTTCAATGCAGTATACATCATACATCCCCTCCTTCTCTGTCTTCCCTCAACCTTGATGTCAGTCCCGTTTTTACAACAGTGGCCCTGTGCAATATATGTCCTTTTATGATTGAGATATTTCACTCAGCATAATGTCCTTCAGGGTCACCCATTTTGAATAATACTGCATGAGTTCCTTATTTTTCAATGCTGCATTGTGTGACTATACCACAGCTTCTCCATTCATTTGTTGATGGGCACTTGGGTTGTTTCCAGCTCTTTGCTATTGTGAACAAAGCTGCAGTAAACATGGGTATGCATATATCTGCTTGAGTGGTGGTTATGGCTTCTTTAGGGTAAATTCCCAGTAGTGGAATTGCTTGGTCAAATGGTATTTCTATTTGCACCTTTTTGAGAAAGCTCCATACAGCGCCATCCTTCCATTTTACACTCCCATCAGCAGTGAATAAGGGTTTCAGTTTCTCTGCAACCTCGCCAGCATTTGTTTGCTGTTCTGTTAAATGTTACTGTTCTTACTGCGGTGAGATGATATCTCATAGTTGTTTTGATTTGCATCTCTCTTAGAGCTAGAGATTTTTAACATTTCTTCATGTGCTTGTTGGCCATCTGAATGTCTTCTTTGGTGAAGTGTCTGTTCATATCCTGTGCCCATTTTTCAATTGGCTTATTTACCTTATCTTGTGGTGCTCGAGTATTTTCTAAATTCTACATATAAGTCCCTTGTTTGAATGAAGCTGAGCTTTTTGTGCACAGAGTACATGCCCCTCCTCTGTGGTTAGAGTCAAGGCAGTTCATGCTTCTTTGGTTAAAAGGATGTTTATTCTTGATTTCATAACTCCTATGCTTGAGTAAGAGAGAGAGAGATCAGCTGGCCCAGAGGACAGAAAGCGATGCTACCAAGCCAAAGGTGGGTGACTTTTAATCCGTGGCCCTCGGGCCGGTCTTTCATTGTTTTTGTTCAGACATTCCTCTAGGTCCTATAGCCCTGGTGTACAAGTTGCCGTACAGCGGTAACTTGTGGTTGCTGTGAGGCTGAGCACTATGACACTGATGTGTCAAATGTGCAACAATGAATGAATAGAATCCCAAAATCTCTGTAGATGTTCATTAAAATGAAAAATAAACAACCTAAATTTAGAAAAAAAATTGTGTTAATGGTTGGTTACCCAATGTGGACAGAGAGTGGGGTGGAGCTCCCCAATGAAAGCAAGCTTGGAAGGAGGAGTGGCATCCACTTCCGTAATAGCTTGCCTTGGGAAAACCTATGAACCTGGAGAGAGGATGAGAGACACCCAAGCGTTGAGGACTCTCCTTCATAGCATCGCTATGAGTTGCCTGCGACTCGACGACACTTAACAGCAACAACATGCTTGAGGATGGCACAGGATAGAGCATTGGGTCTCTATGAGTCATACTTGGCTCGATGGCACCTAACAACAACAACAACAGCATTAAACTCTCCAGATACTAGACCTATAAAATACCTTGTTGGGCTCTTCTGGGTAAAAGAGGCAAGTACTCCAGCCTCCAAATGGCCTGTGAAGTTGACTAAATGAAGTGAAAATTGTTGAGTCCTAAGACGTCATGGCTGGATGCTGCACTTGGTACTGGTTTTTATTTTGAGACATTTCTTTTGTCTGTTACAGTGAAGGCTGGAGAAGGGAAAGGCCCATGGTCTGGGCTGCTCCTATGAGTCATGAGAAGCTACAAATCTAGAACTTGGGTTTCTGAAGCAATGACTGGATCTAGTCCTCCTGATTGGCTTGGCTAGATGTTAAACAGTCTGGATCTCAGTTTCTCCATCTAAAACAAGAGAGGAGGATCCCTGGGGTGGTATAAAGGAAAGAACAGGGGATTTGGGACCATAGCTCTGGTTTAGAGCTCATCATTTGCTTACTGTACAACTTTGAGAAAACCTTTTTGGCCTCTCTTAGCCTGTTTCCTCCGTTGTACAAAACCATCAAATGGTTCATGCCCTGCTTAACTACGTGAGAGTTGTGAGAATTAAAGGGACTTGAAAGTGCTTTGTAAACTGTTAATGCTGTGTGAATGTTGATGTTTTGCCATTAAGTATCTTAAGATTGTGTTAATAAGGTAATTATTAATTGTGGATATAGTTTTAAATACCTTCTATACAGAAATCCAATTTTGAGAATAAATTTTTATTGCTCATCTGGATAGGAATAAAGTTATGGACCCAAAACAGTGCAAAGTCTGGTTATGAGGCTACAGATCTCTTGGCGGTAGGTCAGGTATTGTAAAAATGATGTCATGGAAGCTCCTGACCTCTAACTTCACAGCTAACCAAAGCTGTTTCCTATGAAGCAGGTCAGACATACTTGTCAATCTCTTTACCAGTTCTCACACTAGCCAGCCCTCTGTTTCTCTGTTGGGTTTGATAATCCATAGTAATGGCCACACAGAACTGACAGACAATACTCATGATTATGGAGTTTGTTAGAGAAGAATCGGGTTACCATTCTGGGTCAGAAACCACTCAAGATAGAGTTCTTTGCTCAGGACAGCTTCTTCTCATCTGTATTGTGAGACACTTCCTCTCTCTAAAACGTGTCCTCCCTGCCCCATGGCCCCTCAGTGAGTCTCTGCACAGCTGAGGCAAGTGTTCCAAAACTCTTTAGCTCTACTAATAAGTGCTCAGAGGCACGACACTCAGCCAAGAAACGTTGACTCAGAGATGCTCAGCTCTATCAAGTGCCAAGTCCCCAGAGGCACCCCACTCTGCTAACAAGCCTCCTTCTGGAAGGTACTCAATTTGAAGTCCACTGTGCCATCTCCTGCTAGTCTCTTGGTTCAGCTGACTCTGCTGCTACTGTTTCTATGCCACTAGTTCTGTCTTATTGTTATAGCACTTTGTCTCCTGGTATTAGGAGGTTCTTAGCACTGAGACCCTGATTCCAAAGGATACCTTCCACTCCTAGCTCTTCCTTCTGGATAGTTGTGCCACTGGGCACACCCTGTTTTACCTCTGGGATGGCTCATTTTCACCTTCTTGTTGTTAGGGCCCATTGAGTCAAGTATGAGCTGTAGTGACTGTATGAACAACAGATTTGAACCTTTTCCTATCCTGCGCCATCCTCACAATCTCTGACATGTACTCAAGCCATTGCTGTCGTTATTATGTCAGTCCATTTGGTTAAGGGTTAAACCACAGAATACCAAGCTGTCCCAGGAGAGAATCAAACTTCCAAGCTTTTAGTTGGCAGCATTAACCGTTTGCACCAACGGACTTCAGACATCATGATAGAACTTGACTTGTAGATCCTGGTTCCCAGTAAGGGCCAAATAATACTAACCCTTATTATTTTCACTTCCTTTTGTCATGTGCCAGGCACTGTGCTGAACATTTCACTTATTTAGTCATCATTATATTCCTTTACATATATAACAATTATTTATATAGCTGTAACCCTGGAGAGAGTGAAATTAAGTTGCTCCTCGGAGGCAAGGCTTTTGAAACTCCATCTCGCATACTTTGGACATGTTGTCAAGAGGCACCAGTCCTTACAGGACATAATACTTGGAAGAGTAGAAGATGAGTACCAGAAAGGCCCTGGATAAGACAGATTGACACAATGACTGTGGCAGTGGGGTCAGGTATGTTTGAGACCATGAGGTTGACTCAGGCTAGGGCAAGGTTTAGAGTCATTGTTCATGAAGTCACTATGAGTCATAGTCAACTTGATGGCACATAATAACAATAGCCCTGTGCCAAAGGAGTCCTGGTGACATAGTTGTTAAGTGTTCAGTTTTGTTAACACTTCAAACCCACCAGCTGCTTCATGGGAAATAAATATATGGCATCTGATTCTGTAAAGATTACAGCATTTGAAACCCTATGGTACAGTTTTTCTCTTCCTTACAGGGTTTCTGTGACTCAGAGTAGACTTAATAGCAAGGGTTTTTGGTTTAACCCTGTGCCAACTCTGTTCCAAGTGTTTATAAATGTTTACCCACGTGAGCTATGTCATTTACTCCTGACACAGCCCTTCCAGGTAGATACTGTTACAGTCCCAAGCTGTAGGTGAGGAAACCTGAGAGCAGAGAGGTTGAGTTACTCCAAGTCTGTATCTACTAGGAGGAAGTGCTTGGATTCACACCCAGGTCTGCCTGGCCACTGAGCCTGCCTTTCTATCCTTGAAACCGGATATTCAAAGCTGACACCCTTTCCTGATGGTCTGGCCACTCCTAGGTACACAGTCACCTCTCGCAAGGCCCTTCCTACTCCTCGAGTGCCTGGTTTGCCTCCTGCTCCCATATTTTCTCCTTTCATTCTTCCCTCTCCTTCTTTCTATCATTGAGGTCAATACACACAGTACACTCTACTATAATATAAAAACAAACCTTTTGTCTTCAAGTAAATCTATCTGATCCTGTAGGACAGAGTAGAGCTGCCCCATAGGGTTTCTAAGACTGTACTATTTATGGAAGTAGACCGTCATATGTTACTTCCATAGAACCACTGATGGTTCACATCATAAACCTTTCCATTCGCAGCTGAGCTCGTCACTCCAACCAGAACTCCAGATACTATATTGTATATATGATATATCTGATATATCAGATATGCCATACATAATATAATACATATATATATAAGTGGTCGTGGTACTAGGGATATTATAGCTAATGTTAGATGGTTCTTGTCAGAAAGCAGAGAGTACCAGAGGAATGTCTATCTGTGCTTCATTGACTATGCAAAGGCTTTTGACTGTGTGGATCACAACAAGCTATGGCTGACTCTGAGAAGAATGGGAATCCCAGAACACTTGATTGTGCTTATGCGAAATCTGTACTTGGACCAAGAGGCAGTGGTCAGAACAGAGCAAAGAGACACTGCATGGTTCAAAATTGGGAAGGGCTTCCACCATGCCTTTTCAATCTGTATGCAGAACAGATCATCCGGGAGGCTGGACTGTATGAGTTGGAATGTGGCATCAGAATTGGTGGAAGATCTATTAACAATCTACGTTATGCAGATGACACAACCCTGCTTGCTGAAACTGAGGAGGACCTGAAGCACTTGCTGCAGAAGGTCAAGGACTGCAGCGTTCAATATGGATTGAGGCTCAATATCAAGAAAACAAAGATTCTCACCACTCGGACAATTGGCAACATCAGTATGGATGGTGAAGAGATTGAGATAGTTAACAGTTTTTGTTTACTTGTTTCCACAGTCAACACTCTTGCTACAAGCAGCCAGGAAGTCAAGAGACAAATTGCATTGGGAAAGTCAGTTGTCAGGGACCTCTCCAGAGTACTGAAGAGCAACAACATCAGGCTGCGCCTGATCCAGGCTATAGTCTTCACAATTGTGTGCTATGCATTGGAGGATGATAGAAAGAGAACTGATGTGTTTGAGCTGTGCTGCTGGAGAAGAGGGTTGAGTATACCATGGACTGCTGGAGAACAAACAGGTTTTGTGAAGCCGGGCAGCTCCTTAGAGTCAAGGATTCTGAAGCTTCATCTGACATATTTTGGGCATGTTGCAAGTAGGGACCCATCTTTGGAGAGGGACATCATGTTTGGGAGAGTGGAGGGACAGTTTAGGAGAGGAAGACCCTCGATGAGATGGAGCGATTCAGAGATTGGGGAGTAGGTGTGTCAGAGACAGTGAGGTTGGCACAGGATAAAGCAGGGTTTAGGGCTCTTGTACATAGGGTCACTATGAGTCACAGACGACTCGATGGCAAATAACAACAACAATATGTATATATATTTTATATACATATATATAACTATGTATTATGTGCACATAATAAAATGCACATTTTTTTATAAGAATATATTTTTATTAGGCTTTTTTGTAACAAATAGTACTTTGTTGATTTATAAATGCACATGTTTTAAATGTATCTCAATGGGCATCTACTTCCATGTCTCTTGAGTGACACAAATTCTGAAGGACTTAGCTCTAACTGAAAGATTGGTGGAGTCTCAGAAGAGAGACCTAGCAGTCTGCCCTGGAACAGTCGCAGGCATCGAACACCCAGTGGAGCACTTCTATGCTGAAACACATGGGGCCGTCATGCAGCAGAATCACTCCACACCAGCTGGTTTAGTTGTGGTGTTGGGTTTTCTCATCCTCACCAAGGTTGAAATAGCGACCCAGTAGGCTCCCTTGTACCCCTTTTGAGAAGATAGCCCCTCCCAGAGATAACCACTCTTCTGACTAGTTTGTTGTTCAACATTATATAAATGGAATGTTGTTGCAGTATTCTTTCATGGGTATGGATTTTTTGCTTATCATCTTGTCTGTGAGATAACTCCTATTGTGGCGAGCCACACTTCATACTTTTTCACTTCTGTAATGTCACTTGGTGTAACTCTACCACTATCTTGCCTATTGTGGGCGTTTGGGTTGTTTCACATTTGAAGCTAATGTGAATGAAACTGTCTATTTCCCTCGTAAAGGACCTGTCTTTTGGTGGATGTAAGTTGTCATTTGTCTAGGAGTGGAATTACTGGAACAAGGAGAAGACATATATTTAGCGAGAATGGATATTACCAACTAGTTTCCCAAAATGGTTGAAGCAGTTTAGGCTCCCACCAACAACATGTGAAAGCTTCATTTCGTTTCCTCTTCACCAGCACCAGCACTCAGTCTTTTTCATTATAGCCATTTCAATGAATAATGATAGCATCTCATTTTGAGTGATATTTTCCATTTCTCTGATGACTAATTTAACCACCTTTTCACATGCTTATTGGCCATTTGGGTTTCTGCTATGCAGTAATCATGCTTATTGGCCATTTGGGTTCCTGCTATGCAGTAATTGTTCAACTCTTTTGCCCATTTTAAGAAATTAAATTATTTGTCTTTTTCCTAGTGATTTCTATCCATAGCTATCATTTCTGACTCACAGGGACCCTATAGAGTGGAATAGAGCTGTGTGCTGTGGGGTTTCCAAGGCTGTCACTCTTTACAGAAGCGATTGCCACATCTTTCTCTTGCCAAGCATCTGTGGGATTCAAACCATGGACCTTTTAGTTAGCAGTTCAGCACTTAACCATTGTCCCAGGAGGACTCCTTAACAAATAATTTTTGTTGTTGTGTACTGTCAAGTTGGAACAGACCTATTGCTGACCCTTCAGTGGGTTTTCAGAGGCAGTAATTACACAGGAGAACATTGCCCATCATTCTCCTGCAGAGCAGCTGGTGGATTTGAACTGTGTGCCTTTAGTATTGCAATGCAGCTTCTTGCCACTAGGCCACCAGAGCTTATAGTGGTAAGGAGTTGTGCTGCCCACCCAAAGGCACAAGGTTCAAATTCACCAGCTGCTCTGCAGGAGAAAGATGGTGAGTTATCTCCTGTGCAATTTACTGCTTGTGAAAACCTGCTGGAAGGTCAGCTGTGAGTCAGTTCTCACTTGATGGCACATACACAAACCCTTCATTGGCAATCATTTGAAACTCTCTTAGTCTGTGGCTGGCCTATTTATTCTCATAAAGGAGTCTTTTGGTGAATTTAAAAAACCAAATTCAAGCTCTGACAGCCCCATGTGCCTGTAGCAGAACTGTGCTCTGTATCGTCCAGTGGCTCTAATCTAGGAGGTAAATGGTCAGAAATTTTTCCCCTGGATAAATTCTTTGAACTTTTTAGTTAGTGATAGAGCTGTTTGAACCATTCAAAACTTCTTTTTAGAAATGAAAGTTCCTCATTTTTCCTTTAAATTAATGAATTGTGATTTGGGTTAAAATGTACAGAAAGAATTTTTTTCCCATTCAACAATTTATGCATTTTTTTCATGGTGGTAGTTACCATCCCCTCAACAGAGAAATGCACTTTTCAACTTCTTTCCTGGGTTCCCCATTCCCTGCCTCTTCTGAGTCTTGTTTTGTAGCGCATACCACTCCTGTGGTCTCCTATGGTTGATTATTCTCAGGAGCACACTCCTCCGGGGTGGTGGTGTTCACATTATGTTGTTGTCATGTGCTGTTGTGTTGGAACCAACTCATAGCTGTCCCTCCAGAGGGTTTTCAGCGGCTGTAAATCGTACAGGAGAAGATTGCCCAGCTGATGAATTCGAACCATGTGCCTTTGGGTTGGCAGAGCCACTCTTTACCCACTAGACCACTGGAGGTCCCGGTTCACATTATAATTTATCTATTGGTTGACAGAAAGGTGGTCTTTGGAAGTGGCTTCAGTTTCAGGTTTGTCTAAGATATCTAAGAGTCTAATTCTCGGGATTCTACCAAAGTTCTTCATTTTAATGAAGCTAATTTATCAATCTTTTTTAGGTTGGGAATTTCTGTGTCTTAAGTAATCTTTACCTACCCTGTGGAAATATGTTTTACTGGTTTTGAGCAGGTTTGTTTTTTTCCCTCTTTAGGGCTGGGAATGGCCACGTGGGAAAGGCCAAGCCCGAGGCCGCCTCAGGCAACCGAGCCAGCTAAGGAGGGGGACATAAATCTGCCCACTGGCCGGGAGCTGACTGAGGCCAACCGCTTCGCCTATGCTGCGCTCTGTGGCATCTCCCTGTCCCAGCTGTTTCCAGAACCCGAGCACAGGTGAGTGCTTCTCTCTCCCAGTGGGAATCTCAGGCTTCCTTCATTTTCTTCAGGTAGGTAAGCACTGCCAACCTGGCAGCCTGCCAGGTGCTATGGTGGGGGGGGGCAACAGGAGCATGTCATCATCCTTACCTTTCAGGACCTCACAGTTGGGTTTGGGTAAGACATCTTCTCAGTGAGTATTCCTTCACTTGTACCTCCAGCAAGCGTTTTCTAAGTACCTAAAAATTAGTTTCCCATTCGACAATTTATACATTGTTTATTTACAGTGGTTAAGATCCCCTCAGTGTAACAGCATTTCCCCCCACTTCCTCCCTGGGTTCCCAGTTTCAAACAGTGTGTCAGACGCTTTTTGAAGTACATGGAGAATATATATGTACATACACATGTAAAGACAGTATTATGTACCATCTAGGCAGTTCTAACTCATAGCAACCCTATATGCAATAGAACTGCCTGGTCTTATATTAATACAGAGTTGTGGTGGTAGTTGTTGTTAGATACTGTTGATTTGAGTACAATTCTTAGCAACCCAGTGGACAGCAGATCTGAACCCTGTACTATCTTCATCATATCTCATGTGCTTGAGTCCATTGCTGCAGTCACTGTGCCAATCTTCCTGGTTCAGGGTCTTCCTCTCTTTCACCTACCCTCCACCTTTCCAAGTATGATGTGCCTTTCCAGGCAATAACTTCTCCTAACCACATATGCAAAGTATGTGAGACAAATCTTTGTCATCTTTGCCTCCAAGAAACATTCTGACTACACTTTCTCCAAGATGTATTTGTTGCTCTTTTGGCAGTTTATGGGGTAGTCAGTACTCCAACATCACAGCTCAAAGTGATCTATTCTCCTTCTACCATCCTTATTCATTGTCCAGTTTTCAGATGCTTAGCAAGTAATTAAAAAGACTGCGGCCTGAATTAGGTGCACCTTAGTCTTTAAACTGACACCATTGCCCCTCAGTAATTTGAAGAGGTCCCGGACAGCAGACTTTCCCCAATTAATTTATCTCCTGATCTCCTGATATCTAGTAACAAAAGTGTTGATTTGGATCCAAGAAAGATGAAAATCATTGCTAATTTGTTAGCTATAGTATTAGTGGTAGATATGCTTGCTTTCTTATCATTTGCTTTTATTAGTATAGTACTTGTCTGTCAGTTTGCTGTACTGGGGTAACTTGTGGCTTGCTGTGATGCTGGAAGCTGTTCCACCAGTGTATGTCACATGACAAAAGAGTCACCCATGGTAGACAAATTTCAGCAAACCTCCCAAATTAAGACAGATTTGGATGCAGGATTGGCCATCCTCTTCTGCAATAACAGGCCTCTGAAAACCCTATGAGCAATGGAGGAACATGAGTAACTATAGTATTCGCAGTAGCTAATGAAGAGATAAAAATATTTGTTGGCCGCTCTAATCTATCAGCCTGCCCATGGAAGAGAGAGGTACAGTCTCCTCCCAGGAAGATTTACAGCCTCGGAAATCTGACAAAGGGATACTATGAACTGATGCTGACTCAATGGCAGTGGGCTGTATATTACTTACTATCAAGTAAGTTCTGACGCTAAGTGACCCTCTATCTAATTTCTGAGGCTATAAATAAATCACAACAAAAGGAATCTGCCCTTGTATCTCTCTCAGGGCAGTCGGTAGATTCAAACCACCAAAGTAGCACGTAGCCTTTGAGTTAGCAGTGCAGCTGTACAGACCACACGACCAAAGCTCTTGCTCTATCACCCAGAGACAGGCAAAGAATTAGATGCAATTAAATCAATCCCTATTTATGATGACCCAATGTATGCAGAGTAAGATTTCATAATTTTCAAAATTGTATTCTTTCAGAAGTAGATCTCTGGGCCTCTCTTCTGAGGTACTTTGGGCGGGTTTGAATCACCAGCTTTTCAGCTTTGAGTGCTTAACCACTTCACCGCCAGATAATACAGACACTGTCCTCCACCTCAAGTGTGACACAGTGTAGGAGGATAGAATATCTGTTTATTCTCTCAACATGTGTGTGCTGGGTGTAGTTTATGTAAGGCCTGTAGAGGAAACCAAGAAGAGCAAGCCATGGCTCCTGTCCCCATGGTACTTACTGTCTTAGAGAGGTACTCATATTAGTGATTGTAACAGCTGACAGCAGATTCATCCTTGAGAGGGTTAAACCAGGCTACTTCTTGGAGGCAAGGATTCTGGGGCTTCGTCTGACATACTTCGGACATGTTGTAAGGAGAGACAGGTCCTTGGAGAGGGACATCATGCTTGGTAGGGTGGAGGGACAGCGCAGGAGGGGAAGACCCTCTATGAGGTGGATTGATTCAGTGACTGGGGTAATCAGGATAGGTGTGTCAGGCAATGCGATTGGCATAGCATAGAGCAGGGTTTAGGGCTGTTGTACATAGGGTCGCTGTGAGTCGCAAATGACTCGACAGCACATAACAACAACAGCTGACAGTGCTTTAAGTGTCATGATGGGGTTACATGGGGTCTTGTGGGAGCAAGAGAATGAATGACAGTTTTAATGACAGTGTCATATTTTAATGTCTGCCAATCTTGATGTCACATTTCTCCTCATAGAGCCCAGCCTCCCAGATAATCTGCTCTGCATACAGATTGAAAAAGTACGGAGATAGGACACATCCCTGACGTATACCCTTCACAGTTTTGAACGATGCAGTGTTTCCTTGCTCTGTTCTGATGACTGCCTCCTGGTCGAAGTATAGGTTTTGCATAAGCGCAATCAAATGTTCTGGGATTCTCATTCTTCTCAGAGTTAGCCACAGTTTGTTGTGGTCCACATAGTCAAACACCTTTACATAGTCAATGAAACACAGATTGACATTCCTCTGGTATTCCCTGCTTTCAGCTAAGATCCATCTAACATCAGCTACAATATCTCTAGTACCACAGCCTCTTCTAAACCTAACTTGCACATCTGGGAGTTCTCTATTGACGTACTGTTCCAGTTATATTTTTATAATCTTTAGCAGAATCTTGCTTGCATGTGATATTCTGCTGTGTGTATTTGTGTGCATATCATATATTTGGAGTTAGAATATCAGAGTTTTCAGTAGAAGTCAGAGCTTGGATTAAATCCAGCATTCGCCATTCACTGGTTGTGTGACCTCGAACATAACACTTGCTTCCCTGAGCCTTGGTTCCTTCTGTCATGATAATATCTCAGGATTATTCTGTTGAATAAGCAGTGAGATGAGACATATAAAACATCCCCATGTTCAGTCCAGTGCATGGCCCAAAGTCAACTCCCAGTGAATGTGAGCTCTTTCAATTATTAATACTGGAAGCATCAAAGAAAGCTTTCATGGGGAAGGTGGCAGCCAGGCTGGGCTTTGAAGACCAGTCAAATTTTATTTTTTTTAATTAATTTTAATGAACATTTACAGAGAATTTAGATTTCCATTCATTCATTGTTGCACTTTTCTCCTTGCCCATCCCTCCCTCCAATTCTCTCTTCTCTTTGAAAAGTAAGAAATAGTCTTTCATTGTTATACAATCCCTCCCTCCAAGTCCACTCCACTATGCAGCCTTCAATCTGTACTCCTGTCATGACAGTAATACCTAATCATATATCCCTTTTAAACAGTTCTCTCCCTCATCTGTTTCAATGCAGTATACATTATTTATCCCCTCTTTCTCAGTCTTCCCCCAACCCCTATGTCTGTCCTGTTTAGCAACAGTGGCACTATCCAGTATTTGTCCTTTTGTGACTGAGATATTTCACTCAGCATAATGTCCTCCATGGGTAACCATTTTGTAAAATATTTCATGAGTTCATTGTTTTTGTAATGTGGCATAGTATTCCATTGTGTGAATACACCAAAGCTTCTCTATCCATTTGTTTGTTGATGGGCGCTTGGGTTGTTTCCAACTCTTTACTATTGTGAACAAAGCCACAATAAACATGGGTGTGCATATATCTGCTTGGGTGGCAGTTATGGTTCCTTTAGGGTATATTCCCAGTAATGGAATTGCTGAGTCAAATGGTATTTCTGTTTGCAACTTTTTGAGAGAGCGCCATACAGCCTTACATAGTGGTTGCACCATTTTACACACCTACCAACAGTGAATAAGGGTTCCAGTTTCTCCACAACCTCGCCAGCACTTGATGTTTGCTGTTCTGTTAAATTTTACTATTCTGACTGGGGTGAGATGGTATCTCATAGTTGTTTTGATTTGCATCTCATTTCTTCATGTGTTTGCCATCTGAATGTCTTCTTTGGTGAAGTGTCTATTCATATCCTGTGCCTATTTTTGGGTTATTTACCTTTATCTTGTTGTGGTGCTTGAGTATTTTATAAATTCTAGATATAAGTTCCTTATCTGACATGTCATTACCAAATATTTTTTCCTAGTCTGTGGCTTCCTTTTTACCCTGTTGGAGAAGTTTTTGGATGTGAATATGGATTTGATTCTTAGAAGGTCCCATTCATTTGGTTTTATTCTCTCCTCGTTGTAGATTTTTCAGGATGCTTGGAATACTGTTTATGTTTTGGATTAGGATGTCTAAAGTTCATCTAAGCTTTTCTTTAATGAAGTTTATAGTCCTTGGTTTTAGCCCGAGGTTCATGATCCACTTTGAGTTCACTTTTGTGTATGGAGTGAGGTATGGATCATGCTTAAATTTTTTGCTGATAGTTTTCCAATTTTGCCAACACCATTTGTTAAAAAAGGCTGTTGTTTCCCCACTTAACTGAGTTCATCTCCTTGTCAAAAACCAGTTGACCATAGGTAGATTATCTGATCTTTGGGTTCTCAATTCTATTCCATTGATCTATGTGTCTGTCATTGTACCAGTACCACGTTGTCTTGACCACCACAGTAGTGTAGAAGGATTTTAAATCAGGGAGCAAGATGCCTCCTACCTTGTTTCTCTTTTTAAGGAGTGCTTTGCTTATTCGGGGCCTATTGCCTTTTCAATCTCATGACCAATCAAATTTTTACTGTCATAGATAAGGGAAAGATAGAGACCGAACTGAGGT